CAGTTAGAAAATTGAAAGGCGGTTCAAACCATCGATGTCATCAGAAATGCTGACGTCAACTTTTATGTTACAGGTCATTCAAACGGTGAGTGCCATGGACAAAGATGATCCCAAAAACGGACATTATTTCTTATACAGTCTTCTTCCAGAAATGGTCAACAATCCGAATTTTACCATCAAGAAAAATGAAGGTAAATATATTAGCATTGAGAAAGGGGGCGCCATATACTTTGGAAAAGAAGATGTGAGTTCATAATAGGACTGAACATGTCAATACAATAATTTTTGTTCATTCATGAGCAGTCGAAATCCAGCTTATTAGCCTAATGGCATGGTAATTACATCACTTCCTCTTTCCAATATTGAAACAGTAGATAAGCAAATTGTTAATGTGCATGTTAATTTCATCCCAGGGTATACCTCAATCGCTTTCTTTTTGAAAATGGACTGTAAGGTTTAACCCTTATGAAAGTTGCAGGAATTTTGAGATACTGACCTGACTGATAGGGGAGGATCTGGCTTATACTTTTCAGTTGTTAAGATTTAATTAACAACTATATATACTCATATCAGAAAGAAACATATCATTGTTTCCTACCAAGGCTTTAGGGAAAGCCTGTTGTAATTGTGCCTGGTTTGTGGGTACACATGCGAGGCATTTGTTTTAAACCTGTATTCCAACATTGACAATAGCAATTAGAGCAGAAAATCCTGCTTGAACGACACTCCTTCTCATTGTTATTTTGGAGCTAATAAGACCTGATTTATTTATAAGTCTCTCACTGACAGAGGTCATTTAATGGATAGGGTGTCCCCCAAAAATGTATACACACACTTTGAATAATTATAAAGACAGTGTTTATTAAAATGCATTTTATTTTCAGAATTGAGCTATCAGCTGTTAAAATGTGTATACATTTTGGGGGAACGCTCTGTATGTCATTCGTTGTTGAGAACCAAGTTTGGATTAAGTATTTCCCTTAACGATTGTCTATAAGGTCATAGATGATTATAAAAAGTCTCTCTGATGGAGAGGAGGTTTGGAGAACGGGGTGGAAGAGGTGAAGGGATTGAGAAGTACAGACTGGCAGTTACCAAATATGCATGGTGATGGCAAGTACAGCATAGGAAATATAATCAATAATATTGTCATAACTGTGTATGGTGCCCGGTGGGAACTGGGAAAAAAATCTATTTTACATTTATATGTACATTTTTGTTTCCCTAGCCGCTGTCTACTTAACAAGGATTTTTAACTGCTTATTTTGGCCCGGATGTGTTTAAGTCTAAATTTCAGCTGTTACGGAATGATTAACAAAATAAATGTATTGTCTCAGGCTGTCTTCTGGCTTAACGACAGACAATTGTTTAGATTTATGAATGGTCTATATAAAAGCTGTGCTCAACCAGAAGGGGAAAATTTGGTTCATGGCAATCGTTTGGATTATTTGCTATATCCTGTTTCAAGGAAGTAGTGAATGTTGATACCACTTCCTTTATGAAAGAAAATAACATTTTAGGCTCTTGTTAAATACGTTATGGACTTAACTTTTTAACATAACGCTACGTAGTTCATTGGGTATGCTTTGATAAATGTAGATGCATCGCAGAAAAGGAAATGAGAAAGTCATTATAGAGCTATTACTCATTTATTTGGCTTCCACTATTCTTAACTCTACAGAGACAAAATCCTGCTTTCTCCTCAGTCACAGCTTACTCATTTGTTAGACTTCCCTAATTAAGAACTCTAATCCAAGTGCATTGCCTTCGTTTTTTTTAGTTAATAATGCCAAGATTTCTTTTTCCTGGAAGTCACATAAATATGACTAACATGAAATCAAACTGAGCTGGAAGTGCATGCCCAAGTACCCATGCTTACTTTGTTTTGTTATGTTTGTTTTTTGGTTAATCCTTCAATGTTTGTTAAACATCCAATGGAGGATTTTTTTTCATTGATTTATTTTTGTTTTTTAATCTTGTTGAAAGTATTACATATGCCCCCCCCTTTCCCCCCACTGACCCCTTCTAACCCACCCACACCCCATACCAGGCCTTCACCACCCTATTGTTTGTGTCCATGGGTGATGCATATATGCATAAAAGTTCATTGGTTGATCTCTTCCCACCCACCCCTGCCTTCCCTCTGCGTTTCAGCAGTCTGTTCCATTGATTTTTAGAGAGGGTAGGGGGGAGGGAGAGAGACAGAGAGAGGAGAAACATCAATGTGTGAGAGACACATGGATTCATTGCTTCCTGCACTCATCCTGACCAAGCTGGGAATTGAGCCTGCAACTGAGGTACGTGGCCTTGACCAAAATCCAACCTTGGACCCTTCAGTCCCATGGTTGACTCTCTAACCACTGAGCAACCAACTAGAGTTCCATACTTACTCTGAGTGTGAACTAATAGGTACCAGCCATTAATTTTGCATAGAAAATGTTCTACATTTAAAAATTCCCTGTGAAGACTTTTGTTGTTGGTTTGCTTTGGTGTTTTTTTTTTGTTTTGTTTTTTTTCATCTCTAAGGTTCTGAGTTTCTGGAATTTTCTGTGCTGCCTGTAGTTTCAAGATATGCACATTGTAGGTAGGGCCCATGGAAGGTGCTAAATAGATATTTGAATGGATGAGAGGTTGTTATTGGGTGTCAGTGAAAGCATAGTTTTGGTACTGTATTCGTTATTCCCTAAACCTTTGAAAGAGGACATTTCAGCCCTACCATGAATGAATGTCATATGTTTTCTCTAATTTTTGGAACTAGTAGAAGTAAAAGATTTTACACTTACAAACCCATATTTTAGCTCCCTCATACATTTCAATAAACCCTGTAATAGAATAGTTAAAGGCATATGGATTATCTGTTATATTTTGGAACTAGAAATGGAAGCTACAGGTGTGTGTGTGTGTGTGTGTGTGTGTGTGTGTGTGTGTGTGAAATAATTGGGGGGGGGATGTCAGGTACTGCAAAGTTACTCAGGACAGAAAGCACACTCTTGGTGCCATGATTGTGCCTTTTAAATTATGTGTTTATTTATTTTGCAAAGAACGGCCATAGACGTTATTATTTCAACTGGGACATTGTTTTAAGTGATAGGAGTTGCTATTTGTATTTATATTTATGCCTGTAAAAACCATAAACCGGGACTACCTTGTGGAAACCAGGACATATGTTCACTGTGATTATGGATTTAGGATCCAAATATTCAGCATTTCCATGGAATAAGCTATGAACCCACAGGTCTTTGGGATATCTCCCTTTTCCTGTATTAAGTCATGTGTTTTGCTCCATTGACCACTACTTTTTGGTATCTGAATAGTTACTGTGAAATAGAAAAAGCAATTCGTCTCTTCACATGTAGAAACAAATAGAAACTGTCAGATTTAAAATGTTGGAGATATATAGATAAATAGATAGCTTGTGAACCTGTTACTCATTCCTTGTTATTAATGATGGGAGAACACACACACACATACACACACACACACACACACACACTCAACCAAAAGTCCAAATACTAGACATTATTTATGTTAAAACTATGGTCTATTTTCTGTTTAAAACATGGCAGGAATCAAATGGTATAATATGGTGAGAATTATTTTCTTTTTACGATGGACTTTAAAATGATCAATAGCTGATGTTTCTCTATTGAGCACATCATAATTTGCAAGACCCTTCCCACTTGATGAAGGTTACAATTTGGAGATAGTCAAAGTATTCAAATTCACAACTGATGGGTGGATGGCCCCCCTTTTAAATGAGATCTTCAAAGGAAATGGGTGCAGTACTTGGAGTTTTCTAAGAAACTCACAGCTGTGTCTTTCAACTTAAAGTCACTATGATCTCCTTCTCTCATCTAGATTGGTCCTACTGCAATTTTCAGCCAACTAATTCAGAATCAAAGACGAAATGAGATAGAAATTAGCTGTCTCTTATCTCCTACACAGTTGAGTGATTTCACATAGAATCCTCTTTCTGAATATAGGAGAATCATATATCTGCCAGAACAGGAAAGCAGCCTTTAATAGGAATAAAGGTGAAAGCAAAGATCAAAATGTGATGAGTCATTTATATTACATGTACATACCAAACCATCATATCGCCTTGAATTGCCAAAGTTATATGACCCCGACATCAGTTTCTCCATTTTCCAGTTGGGTGTATTTATAAACAAAAGGAATTGTGCTGACCACATTCCAGTATTTGTTTCCATTCCAACCGTGAAAATGGAAGACAGTCAACAATTAAATATAACAAGCGGGCAAGTTCCAGGTCCATTTACATTTTCCCAGGAATATCTTGCTGAAAATTTGAGGACTGCAGAAACCTGGTCTTATCCAATCTGCACATTGTAGGTAAAAGACTTGACTGGAATGGCCAGAAAGCAGTAGTGAAAGGGGAGTCTTCATGTTTTATACTGAAGTGTTTGAGTCAGGTGTATAGAGAAATGAGGAAAAACATATAGCTCTGCACGCTAAGGAGGGCCTATGCGAAGAAAAGAAGTAGGTATTGTACTTGCCCTTCATTATAGTTGGTTAGGCTTAAGAAAAGACAGCAGGGGGACCAAAGTGCCTGATGATAATAATTTTTTTCTCTTCTCGAGAGCTTCTTTTTGACCAAAATTCTATTGGTAAGCATCTCACTGTAAAGGTAATCATGGTAATTGGTCTGAATAATGTAAATGTTGATCAGAGCATTGGAATAAATGCATCTTGGATTGTCTCAATGTCCATAATGTGGTCACCTGTTGAGGATATAATTCATGCTTGGTTTTGGAGGGTTTCCATTTCATCTGTTGGCCAACTTCAAGAAGTATGTGTTTTATGTCTTTTTATCCTCTAGATGCATCCCTTGTTAGAGCAATGACTACAGGCAAGTTATTTTAAGCTTCAGTTTCCTCATCTGTGATGCCAGGATAGCAATGCCCGTTGCCCCATAGGTGTGTGTGGGTATGCCTATGCTGCCGTGGGCATGCATAACCCAGGGCTCAGACAGCCCTCAGCACAGTGCCTGGTACATAGGAAAGCCCCCATCAGTAATGGGACACGGTGCTCATGATACGAAGCCATTCATTCCTAGATACCCATTCGATGGCCCATCTCCTCTAGCTTATTATCCTCACCCAGGTCTCTTGGCAGCTTTAACTCCATTGACGTGGGAATGTGATACAGTGATCCTGAAAGTGGGCTCACT